GCAGGAATGACATTCTCAAAGGATGTCTAGTAACACAAGAAAAATATGAGGACATGGAACTAATGGACTAGAAAACATAGACATTAGAATCACAACTACTTAAAATATATACTCTGAAGCCCATGTACCAAAAAAGATGAGAAGAAAATATGTCTTAATTTTGGGACCAGCAGACGGCATAACAGTTACGCCGCTGGACTCTCATGTAGTCAACCAGTTTGAAGACCAGACTCGGCAGCTTAAAGCTCCTGCTGAGCATGTGTGTGTGCGTGCACAAGTTCCCGAGAGGAGAATGGAGGAGAAGGGATTGCAACATGGCCATCCCCCATGCCTGGGGGTGATATCTCACTTTCTGTCTCTCCAGCGAGCACACACACCCTATAGCAAAAATCTTTAAAAAAATAAAAGAAAGAAAAGAAAAGATGTCTTAATCTTAATAGTGGCCTCTCTAGGTCCTGCCATTTGTCCCTTCTACTTTTTACATATCCCAAACGTTCCATGATGAGCATATACTGTGATAAAAGTAAGAGGGAAAATCAGACGTACTTTTTTAAAGAACACATAACTTTTCCCCCATTTCCCTCTTCAGAGGTCCCCCACCTACCTGGTTCTGGCCCATCCCGTGACAGACGTACAGAAGGACCTGGTGTCCCGTAATGTCGTTTTCGTCGGGAGGATTATAGTCAAAGCAGTAGTCTTTCAGTCCTTTGTTTCGGAGCTAGAGGAAACATAAAGGGTTATCTTGGTCCAGACTTACACACAGGATTCACACAAGGATCCGAGGAGTGGGATGAGAGGAGAACCTCCCTCAAGAACTGAACTAAAACAGATCTCACAGAAGGTGAGAGGAGAACAGAGGTGATCAAGGCTGTGGAGGGGAGAGCAGTCGGGGGGGGAGGCTGGCCAAGGGGTTCTATGGTATAGCTAAACAGGAAGAATAAGTTCCGTGTCCTACTTTCTAGTAGGGTGACTACAGTTTATAACAATGTATCATATATTTTCAAATAGCTAGAAGAGAGGATTTTAAATGTTCTCACCACAAAGTAATGATCAATGTGTAAGATATGCCAATTACCTAATTTCAGCATCCTATAATATATACATAGATCAAAACATTACATTTTACCCCACAAATATATACGATTACAATTTTATTTTTTATTTAAAAGTAAAATAAAACTGGGAAGGGGGAACTGACCCCAATGGTAAGAGCCCCTTTCTTCTAAAAGCACTTTTTTTATTTGCCAGAGGGCACGCACAGTTACCAGAGACAGGAAGGGAGAGAGGAAAAGCGAGTAAGCACCTTCTACGGCGCATGGTCATGCTGCCATCCCTTCTCATCCATTGCTCCCTCCTGTCAGGATTTTGGGCATGTATGCACATGTGCCTAGTGTGTTTCTCAAGCCACTAGGGGCTGGGACTTGAACCACACAGTGAGTCAAGTGAGCTCCTGCCACCTTAACCCTCACACCACAGGCTGGTCCCTAGACAGCACTCTCTGGGTTTAAAAGTGTCTTCTCAGAGCCAGTCAGTGATGCAGCAGTAACACAACTGGACTCACATGGGAAAGGTCACGGTTCGGTCCTGAGGCCTCCCTGGGCATGCTGGGCACATGTGCCCATGAGCCAGGCTGGCTGAGACTGACCACGGATCATGGCATGAGGACCTTATTGGGGTGCTCCCCTTTCTCTTCCTCTCTCTGAAGGAATAAGGGAATAAAGGGTTTTTTTAAAGAAGAGATTTTTGCTATTGGGTACATGCACTCACCAGAGAGACAGTAAGTGAGATATTACCTCTCAAAGGCCACACCACAGTCCCTTCTTCCCTGTTCTCTTCTCGGGATCTTGGGCATGCACACACACTCACCTGGCGCGAGTTTTAAATGGCCAGGTCATGGATTTGAACTGTGATCGACTATGTGGAAGTCCAGTGATGTAACCATTACATCATCTGCTGGTCCCACGGAATTAAATTTTCTTTTTTTAACACTATTTTAATTTTATTTACTATTATTGTATTTTAATTTGATCAGAGACTGAGATAGGGGTAGAGAGTGAGAAAGCAAGCCACCAGGTCTGGAACTCGAACCACAGTTGGCCAAGTAGGAGTCCAGCACCTGCCAGTGACCAAGGGAACTGTGGGTAGGAATCTTTACTCCCATTTTAAGATGACAAACCTGAAGATCAGACAGATTAACCCTGAAAAGCCTGAACGGTCATACTTTTTCATTCTTCATTAGTGGATTTTTTTTCCCCATAGGGCACATGCATTCACCGAAGACAGACAGAGAGAGACAGGGAGAAGTGAGAAATCACCCATTATGGGGGGTGGCCATGCTGCAATCCCTTCTTCTCCATTCTCCTCTTTGGATTTTTGGAATGCACGCACATGCGCCTGGTGTGATTTTCAAGCTGCCAGGTCCAGGGCTGGAACCACGGTCGATCATGTGAGAGTCCAACGCCTTAGCTACTACACCACTTGCTGGCCCCCACTGGTACACTCTTAATGCTATGTTAGCCCAAATACATGTGAGCTTCTCCTCAGACTAAGATTAATTAGATTAACTAAATCAGGTTGGTAACAAACAAAGAAAAAGGAATCTTGTAAATGACTTCAATACATAGTAGATTTGACATTATTTCCTTAGTTAAATATATTCTATAAACGAAGTGGCAAAGAAATCTGACACCTCGTTTAGTATAACACTGTCACTTTCAATATTACATTATTGTTTTGAAACCATTTTAAATATATTAGGTTGTTGGGAAAGTCACGATGTGTTTTTCTATGCAAAAATATGTCATGACTTTCCCAACCACCCACATTTAGAGACAACAAATAAATATTAATACTTATGTCAATATGGTTAAAAACCAAGATTTATGATGTAAGAAAAAAGAAACAGGACTATAATGTCAAAGAAGAAACCACCTTGTAAGCTTACACTTGAATCTGAGATATAACTGAGCTCATGACACTTCAGGTGATGAAAATTCCATGAACCCAACGATGAGTCTCATCGCTGAACGCAAGGTGACCAGACTTTATGTACTCCTCATATGACACAATAATGCAAAGCATCACACCCAAATTGTTCTTGGCATAAAGGTGGACCCACACTCTAATCAAATTTTTAGACTTCACCTGCATTTTAAAGAAATATGGAGAATGGGCCAGCTGGTAGCGTGGTGGTTAAGGCAGCTGGATCCTACATGGCTGACTGTGCAATTCAAGTCTTGACCTAGCAGCTTGGAAAACAGGCCAGGTGCATGCACATTTGTGCCCAAAATCCCGAGAGGAGAATGTATGAGAAGGTTCATCCCCTCTGGAGGGTTCTTTCTCAGTGTTCCCTTCTTCCTGCTCCCCCTACCCCAGCAAGTACACATATCTTATAGCAATTAAAAAAAAAAAAGGAAAATTAAAAATTAAAAAAGAAGAAAAGAAAAGAAAGGAAAGAAATGGGGGGAGATGACAAAGTTTAAAGTCTGAACAGTAATTCTAACAGTGAGATGCTCTACAGACAACTGATCTTGGTTTTTCCACAAGGGAAAGCTATTAACAAAAGAATAAATAAATAAAGAGAAGGGACTATCCTAGATTAAAGAGGCTTAGGAGGGTTAGCAAGTGTGTGGTGGTTAAGGGCGCTGGATTCCTACATGGCTGACCGTGGTTCAAATCCTAGATCTGGCGGCTTGCTTTCTACTTTCCCTCTCTCTCTCTGGTCAAATTTAAATAAATAAATAAATAAATAAAGTTAAATAAAATAATTCTTTTTAAAAGGGAGAGAAAGAGACTTAGGAGATAGAATACAACAACCACATACCTCATAGGGACCCTAATTAGAATTGGTCAACCACCCAAAGAGAAAACTGAAGATCTAGGGGACTATAAATTGAAACTGAATACGAAATGATACCAATAAATTATTGTTCATTAGATGACATGTGATAATGGTCTAGTTGCATAAGACAATACCCAAATTTTATAAGGATACATACTAAAATATATAGGAATGAAATGACACAATATCTGGAGTTTGCTAAAAACAAAAATACAAACATGGAGTGTAGCAAAGAGAATGAAGGCAAGAGAGGCAGAATCTTGAAAATTCTAGACTCTCAGGGACAGGATTCATCATACCATTCCCTATGTGTTTTTGCATATTTGAACATTTTCGTAATGAAAACAGAATTTAGCATTAATACCCTGCTTCGTATCTATGAAAGACCCAGAATGGAACACCAACACTTCTGATCAGCACAGTAAAGCACAGGGGACTGCACTAAGTTTATACAATTCCTAGCAAAAGCAAAAGACACTCGGCATTTTAGTTGACCTCCTTCCAGAAACATTTAGGTTTTCTGGAAGTAGTAGAAATGACTCTCCTCTCCCCATTATTGCCTTTGTTGACTTCTAAGCTGGGTATATTATTAACTGGTCCAGCTGTTGAGACCAGAAGAAATGCAATTTATCTTGGTATCAAGGACGTGAAACATCAAGTAAGATAAGATAAACGAGGACATGAAACATCAAGTAAGCCTAAGTTTCCTCATCTGTCAAATGAAAGACTTATACTTGCCAATTTCAAGATGGCCTCTAGCTCTGACATTTTGGACCCAATGCCCAGAAACTCAGGGTAGAAAGATGGTAGTGGATGAAAGGATGGGAGCAGCATGGGCGTAGCACAGGTCAGTGGCCCCCACGTGTCCATCAGACCTGGAGGCCCACCAGAGCCTGCCTTGCTCACCATCCCAAAGAAGCCAGGCCTGTCCTCAGGCACATGCAGTTCTGGGTACACAGTCTCCAAGAACCACTTGAAGTCCTTGCATTGGAGCTTGGCCCGCAGCTGCTTCCTCTCCGTCACATCTCCAAAGGGTTCCTGATAAAACAACAGAACAGTGAAGAGGCCAGTAGTTAGTGTCATGGCTATGTCGCTGGACTCCCATGTAGTTGACCATGGTTCAAGTCCTGGACCCGGTGGCTTAAACTCATGCTGGGCCTGTGTGCGTGCATGCCCAAGATCCCAAGAGGAGAATGGAGGAGAAGGGATTGCTGCATGGCCATCCCCACAGAGAGGAGAATTCTTGCTTTCTGTCTCTGTCTCTCTCTGTCTTTCTGGCAAGCACACATGTCCTATAGCAAAAACCTCTCCAAAAAATAAATTTAATTTAATTTAATTTAAAAAATAATAAAATAACAGAACAGTGAGTCCTGTTAGTTCTGGAGCTTACTACAAAGCCCTGCCTTTATTGATCCTCACTTGCTAACAACCCAACCAGCCTTTACTAAGCGTCTGTTAGGTGCCCAGAACACAGAAGACAAAAAAATACAGCTCGTAGCCAGCTGATGGCATGGTGGTTAAGGTGCTGGATTCCATGTGGCTGACACTACGGTTCAAATCCCAGACCCAGCAGCCTGGAAAGCACGCCAGGCAAAATCGATACCATGATGCTTTTGCATTTTCAGACATTCGCAGACAAAAAAATGAGTTGTCCAGCACTTGCATTACTG